AATATATAAATCAACGAAAAAATGTAAATATAACATGTGCGGATTCTATTTTAACTTGGTGTGCAGAGAATCAAATTGAGTTATCTGAATGTTCTTGGACAATAGGAACATTTCGAAATCATTTTTATAACATGGCAGCTTTAATCAGTCGGCCATATCCTGATTCAAAGAATAATAATAGTGGACTAGCATTCATTCGATTAGGAGATGGAGAAATGAAACTTTTATTTGGAGTTTCAGTTAAGTCTATTGACCCATGGTCGTGGCCTGGTGGTCAATCAAGATTAGGAAAAGATTTAAGAAAAGCATTGCATTATCCGAAATATCAATATAATACATTTAGTCCATTTTATTATGGAATTTATGATGCTAAAGATATTTGTCCTTTTCATGAACTTGTCTCAATGATTCATCAGCATCCAAAATATTTAACATATACAAATTTATTTGTCAATTCTAATTATCCTTCTACGAAATTATTACATCAATCACTTATTCGAGATCATCGAAAAAAGATCATTCTAATAATTAACAATGGAACTAGCTCGCAAAGGCTAACTGAACTAAATACATGGACTTGTGAAATATTGTTATATCCAAATAATGGACCTTTGTTGTGGGAAAATGATCAATTTAGAGAGCAAGCAATTGGAAAAATTGTGGACACAGCAAAGCGATACAGAAATCGATTATTTTTATTTTCAATTGGTCCACTATCGAGAGTTCTCATTCATCATGCCTGGCTCGAAAATCCTTATAATCGTTACATTGATTTTGGTTCTACACTCGATGAAATGACAAAAAGTAGAGTAACTCGACCATATCAATCGAATACCGAACTCAATCATGATCCATCGTATATTATGAAATTTGATACGAACAAAAGTGTATTCCAGGTGTCATCCGTAGACTAAAAATACATTCTATTTTATTATTATTTTTTGTTCCAGCATATGTGGGTCGTGGGTGTGAATGTTCACTCTGCCTATCTTCACTCACAATCACACCGTTTCGATGGTTCCCTCTCAAGTCGGCAACCCTGAAACTAATGTCTAAATGATTTCTTTTAGTTTCTGATCCTTAGAAATAAGAAGAAAGGAAAATTAATTAAAGCAAAGTTACCATCTTTTATAATGAGTAACGTGCATAGCTACCATTATAAGAGTTTAATTGTTAACTTCTTACTGTCCCAATGTTGCCAAATGGCAACATTTTGTCGTACAGATGCGGTATATATGAAATAATCGGCCGGAAACAGATAAAAGTAAAGTATGAATAAGTTCGATTGTTCTAAGACATGTAGCGTATTGCTTCACGAATTCTGTCGATTCCTTAGTCATTGAAGGCATACATTGTAACAAAACGAGTGCTTGTCATTTCGTGGGTGGATGTGGATATATAATTAAAATGAACTATGAGGTTCAAAGGATACATGTTTATTAATAATAATGTGTGTATACGATATTGAAATATGAAGGCAACTGGCTGGGAAAAAAGCAACTTGTTCAGAGAACATGTTAAAAAGTCAAAGAAACTGGGGAAAAAGAAAGGAAAACGAATGAAAACATCAAGTGAAAGTACTACATACAGAAAAACGATAGAAACGCGCATTGATTATGTAAAGCAGGCTTTTATAACTACAATTAAAATAATTAGTTTAATAAAACATCATTGAAGAAGAAATCGTTGCACCCTGTTATTATAATAGTCAGAAACATATAAATATGTTTCAGTAGGATCAAGTGCCACATCACCTGGATACGAAAGAAGTTTATTGGTACTACCCGCAATACCACTTGCACTGCCGGCTACCACCGATCCTTGTGTATCTCCAATATTCCATCGCATAACACGGTTATTGTTACTATCAGCAATATAAAGGGTTTGACCATTACGCGTGACCCAAACGCCTGTAGGAATACTAAATTGGTTAAGATGCGATCCTGCTCCATTCCCACCTGCTACTGTTATTCCTGTTCCGTTGCCACCTATTATAAATTTCTGGATGCGATTGTTATCACTGTCGGCGACATATAAGGCTGCTCGATCTTCATCTAAATGCATAAATCGAGGCCAATCTAATGAATTACTATTTGTGCCACTATGTCCTAAGTTTCCAGCAACAAGTATACCGGTCGTACTATTTGGTACCCATTTTACGATCGCATAGCAAGTAGGCAATGATGCGTAAATATTACCGGATTGATCAACTACTACACCAATAACTTCATATAATCCTATTAGAGAACAGTTTATGTTTGATCGACCTATTGGTGGAAAACTTGTGAGATTCATTCCTGGTCGTTGAATGTACATTATACCTTGATTAATAGTGTAATCAGACATGTATATGTTGTGTGAACTGTCAACAAATATATCCTCAGGCGCACTGAGTCCGTTAGAGAGAATCGTAGATCCAATACGTGAAAATGGTAAAAATGATTGAAATCGTGGCACATCATAATTGCTTACATATAAGATTCCATCGAATGGTGAAACATAGATACCCCAAGGTCCCATCACGCCGAGTGTACCTGCATCTGTACTGCCATTGCAAAAACCAGCAACAGTCTGACCAATACCTGCGGTTGGAGCTACAATTACAAAAAAATTTTTAGTGTTTTTGAGATATTAGATCAATAGCATCATTAGTACAAACATAGTTAAAAATGACTTACAAGCAGAACATCGATAAGTAAAATCACAACCTGGTTGACATGAAAGATTAAGATCCGTCCGGCAAGCAAATGCATTTGAACATATTTGACCTTGAAATAATTGTGTCATACACATTCCATTATTCCAATATGTGAATGGTGGACATTGACAAGTTGAACTGTTCACATTACATATTTCATAACGACTTTGATCACAATGACTGCATGACTGATTGTGAATGTTAACATAGTTATTAGGAGAGAATTGAACTGAACCAACACATGATCGTGGTTTTGATGGCGAAGCAACAATCGAACCTGTTGTTGTATCCAAATCCCATAAACGACACTGTAAAGAATCAGCATCAAAATCAAATGTTCGACAAGTGATACGCTTGTTACATTCAGCAGAGCAATACATAAACTTTTTTGTCGTACAAGTAAATAGAGGAGGACGAGAAGTATCTATAGGAATGAATTGATATCCTAAAGCACTGATTTTTATCTTCGATTGATCTTGTAAAGTTAGATGAAAAGATAATAAGAAACCAAAAATAAGAAACAACTGCATTTGTCGAATAGAACTCATGGTGATGTATAGAAAACTATTTGAAGAAATGACATATAACTTTATAGAGGAGCTACTGAAAAAAAAATTATTATGATGGTTAATATTTCAAGTGTTAAATGATTTCTGTAGAATATAATATGCTGTTTTAATTATTTTTCTTGTATAAAACGCCAACATCTCTTACAAAAGTATATTAAATTTTGAAGAGAATATAAATTGAAAAACGTAGTTTTTTTTTCTTAACAATATAACAGTTTAGAATTCTTATTTTCATCCGATTAGTTTTAGATAAAATTGAAAGTTTAATTCTATGTAGTAAAAATTCGAATACCACTATAAATAAACTGATCACGCTGAAAAGATGTAAAATTTGAGTAAATAAATAGACTTTTATTTAAAATTATCATTTTTGGTTTACATGCGAGAGAAACAGAAAATTTTAATAGCATAGATATAGTTTTGAAAAGATTTTATAATTGCAGTCCATAATGAGTTTTTTCTAGATTTTTCAAGTTTATTTTCGTCAAACAAGCCACAATTTCTATTTTATTTGTAATTTATTTTCTGATAATTTTACAACATCGTAGTTTAAAATGACATTTAATCGAGCAGAAACTATTCCATTCTGCCAGGAATATTATTAAATAGTACGTTTTTATTTACAGTCGCATATACATTCACTACAAGAGGAATGTGGGTAGGTTTTCAATAACAACTAAAAATTTATGCATATTCAAACTTCCATAATATAATCTCGAAAATAATTATTTAATCGAAGCTGAGTGTCAAAGCATATTTCTAAATACGCTAAATTAAATCAGAGCAATACTTTACGAATTAAAAAAATTAATAATAATATCATAGGTCATACTGTAACTAATGTGTATTTATTTTTTTTTGCATAGAAAAAAAATAATCATTCTTATAATAATTCTTGTTTAGTTATTCTAATAGTTTTGTTGACCAAAATTTTATGAAATGAACAACAATCAACATTCATATATTATTTTTAAATACGGTAGAGCTTGACCATAACGATAAACAATATATTCTGTCAGATTGGAATGTTTTCCAATTATTGAATGGAATTCTTTTGGTGCCGAAACTAATGCTGGATAGCAAACATTATTAATGTGTAATTTATCTGTCAAGAAATAAAAGAGACCAATTTTTTATGATTACTGCTTCAGATTCATTGTATTATGATATTTATTTCAAAATAATGTACTATTACTTTCTGTTTTCCTTTCATATGCATGAACTTGCTTTTTTTTCTTCCTTCCTACACTTATTCATAAATCATCAGGTGAGTAAAAAAATGTGTATATACAATCACAGTTATTGCATTAACTAACATATAAAACGAGAAGTATATATCATCATTTCATATAAATAGAATCGTGAAGGTTATTTCTTCTATATGCTTCCATTCTTAACTCTATGCACACAATCAGTATACACTTAAAATACTTATATATATATATAATACGTACGAGAATAAAAGCAAGTCATACACAATAAGTATTTATTAATGAATAGCAATTCGTATATGTCACTATTCTTCGAGCATATTCCCATCAACATTTATAAATATCAAAAATGATTTCTTTGATGCTGCTTTAAAATCAAAATCTATAAAAACAGGTTAGTTATTATTTTTTTTTCTTAACAGTACATTTTATATAGAGAAACATATATTATATAGTGTATTCATATATGAATTTCAAATGAGAATAAATAAGATTCGAGTAAAAAAATTTTTATTAACAAAACTAATCAACTGGATCTTTGTATTTAATTCCATATTTTTCTCTTAATTCATAAAATAATGAACGATTAAATGGACAAGTAACACGTCGACCATTACGAATATAACCTCCTTTTTTCCATTGATTATGTTCATGTACAAAATCTTCTGGCCAAAAATCAACACATGCAAAAGTATTATTCGGTGATCTATCTGTTACTAACGAACAAAATTTCTTATCTTTTTCACACATTTCAACAAATAATTGTCCATCAAGTGCTAGATTTTCTCGAGGATTAACTGGTAATGAAAAACCTTGTAAAATAAGTTGTCCTGCTTGTCGAATTAATTTTATTAATTCATCTTTTTTTATTCCTTTTGATCGTTTATTAATTGGATAATAAAGACCTTTAATATACGGTGTCCCACTAGTCATATGTTGTTCCATATATGAAGTAAATTTATTTTTTGATTTTAATCCTCCAACATTAATTGTAACGGATCCATCGGATAGAAATGTCTGATACATTTGACCTGTACCTGGTCCAGTTATATGAATATCCATTTGACGTACTGTACGTAATTGAGTCATAAAATTATTATCAATTAATTCATATATTGGTGATCGAGAATCAATTGGTGTTGCATTGATTCGAAATGAGTTTGGATCTTGACCTTGTATTTTATTATAATGAAGATATGTAACATGAATTAATGGCCATTTTCTTTTCTTAATAGTTTTATTTAAATAAAAATTCGTATAATTATTTAGTTCATTCATTGTATCATTAATTTCTATTCGATCATTAGTTGTAAAACGTTTATTATGAATAATATATGCTTGAAGAATATCAGAAGATTTTCGATGTTCAGATGAAGAATTTTTTCGAATAGTTGATTGAATAAGACCATGTTGTTGATACATTCTATCACGAAAAAGTCTTGATGCATCTAATTCAACACCACCAGGTAATTGTAAATTTGATTGTACACAACGTTGACATAATTTTCCACTACCCATTATAATTTCATCGAATAGAAACCATTTTTGTTTTGACATTTCATCTAAAACTGCTATTTTCATAATTCCTAAACCTGAAAAACGACTATAAACATCTTCACTCCAACAATCTTTACAATTTCTTATTTCTGTAAGAATTCGAAATGGTTGAAGATGTCTAGGAGAAAATCTTATAAGTGCAACATAGGCTGGATAGAGTCCATCGAAAAGTGCATGACCAATATTCTGATGCCATAATTGTCCAAAATATAAAGTTACAGATGGAACTCGTTTTAAATCAATAAGATTTAAAACAAATTTTTCTAAATCAG